GGCGTGATCTCAGCTCACTGCAGCTTCTGCCTCCCTGGTTCAGGTGATTCTCCTGTCTCAGCCTCCTGAGCAGCTGGGACTACAGGTGCATGTCACCACCCCCGGGTAATTAAAAAAATTTTTTTTCTTTATTATTATTATTTTTTAATAAAGATGGGGTTTCACCATGTTGATCAGGTTGGTTTCAAACTCCTGACCTCAGATGATCCACCCACCTCAGCCTCCCAAATTGCTAGGATTACAGGCAAATACTGTGGCTCTGGGGTGAGCCACCACACCTGGACTTTTTTTGGTATTTTTAGAGAGACAGGGTTTCACCATGTTGGCCAGGATCGTCTCAATCTACTGACCTCATGATCCACCCTCCTCGGCCTCCCAAAGTGCTGGGATTACAGGTGCAAGTCACCATACCCCATCAGTATATGAGGGTTTTAAACTTTTTAATTTATTTTTATTTTAATTTTATTTTTTTAAAGATGGGGTTTCACCATGTTGGCCAGGCTGGGCTGGTCTTGAACTCCTGACCTCAAGTGATCTGCCCACCTCGACTTCCCAAAGTGCTGGGATTACAGGAGTGAGCCACCACGCCCGACTTTTTTTTTTAAATATTTGCTGCCGCTGCCCATGTTGGCCGAGGGACCGGTCGGGCAAGGTGTTTTACCTTTAAGTGCAGGGATACATATGCAGGTTTGTTACAGGGGTAAACATGTGTCATAGGGGTTTGTTGTACAGATTATTTCATCACTCAGGTGTTAAGCCTCATACCCATTAGTTATTTTTCTTTATCTTCTCCCCCTTCCCACTCTCCCCTCTTCAATAGGTCCCAGTGCGGGTTGTTTCTCTCTACGTGCCCATGTGTTCTCATCACTTAGTGCCCACTTACAGATGACAACATGTGGTATTTGGTTTTCTGTGCCTGTGTTAGTTTGCTGAAGATAATGGCCCCCAGCTCCATCTATGTCTCTGCAAAGGACATGATCTCATACTTTTCCTATGGCTGCAAAGTATATGTTAAATCCATGCTTTGTTTTTTGAGACGAGGTCTTGCTCTGTTGCACAGGTTAGGGCGCAGTGATGTGATCACGGCTCACTGCAGCCTCAACCTTGCAGACTCAAGTAGCTGAGACTACAGGCACATACCACCACGCCCAGCTAATTTTTTGATTTTTTTGTAGAGATGGGGTCTCCCTACGTTGCCCAGGCTATTCTCGAACTCCAGGGCTCAAGCAATCCTTTCACCTCGCCCCCGGAAGTGCTGGGATTACAGGTGTGAGCCACTGCACCCAGTGTATACGCGTTATTTACATTGTTTCTCATCCTCACAGCAATCCTCAGACATATGTGTTATTAACCCCATTTTAAAAGTGGAGAGAATGGCTGGGTGCGGTGGCTCAACCCTGTAATCCCAGCACTTTGGGAGGCCAAGGTAGGCGGATCACTTGAGGTCAGGAATTCGAGACCAGCCTGGCCAACATGGTGAAACACTGTCTCCACTAAAAATTAGCTGGATGTGGTGGCAGGTGCTGGTAATTTCAGCTACTCAGGAGGCTGAGGCAGTAGAATCACTTGAACCTGGGAGGCAGAGGTTGCAGTGAGCCAAGATTGCACCAGTGCACTCCAGCCTAGGTGACAGAGTGACACTCAGTCTCAAAAAAATAAAATGGAAGTGGAGAGACTGAGGCTAAGATTACACAAGTAGTGAGTGACTGAGCCAGAATGAAACTTGGGTCCTTCTGTCCATGTTTTCACCAAAGCTCAGTCTGTCTCTTCAGAAACCAAAGCTGAAAGCCGCCAGAAGGTTGCTCAGACCGTGCTCTGAGCCACAGCAGGTGTGGCTTGCCGAGGCGTTCCTGCCCTTCTCAGCTGCACACTCCCTCAGCTCCCCTGTCCTATAGGCCCTCCCCAGCCACTGGAGACAGGTAACCTACTGTCTGTATGTAATACATGGGCTTCTTCACCAAACGGTGCATTTTTTTTTTTTTTTTTTTTGACAGAGTCTTGCTCTGTTGCCCAGGCTGGAGTGCAGTGGCACAATGTCAGTTCACTGCAACCTCACCTCCCAGATTCAAGCAGATCTCTTGCCTCAGCCTCCCGAGTAGCTGGGATTACAGGCATAGCACTACCACGCCTGGCTAATCTTTGGATTTTTAGTAGAGATGGAGTTTTACTATGTTGGCCAGGCTGGTCTCAAACTCCCAAAGTGCTGGGATTATAGGTGTGAGCCATGCGCCTGGCCTCCAAACAGCACACTTCTCAAAGACTTAATCCCCTTGTTGGTGACCCTACCTGTAATTTTCTAGAGTCTGGCCTGCTGGGTGGGAGGAAATGGGGTTGGGATTGGAGGGATGCTGGCATGGTGAAAAATAAAAAGGAATCATCTCTCACCTGAATGATCAGAACACCTGCAGCCCCTAAATGTTCCCCCAGCCTCTGTGCGGCCCCTCTGAGCCATTCAACAGTATACAACCGGAGTGATGCTCCTGGGATATCATCATCTCTCCTGCACCCACCCCTGCTCAGAGCCTCTGTGGCTCCCCAGTGCCTTATGGAGGCCTCCCAGGCTCCTCCAGACCTAGCCGCTGCCGACCTCGCCAGCTTTCACCGCTGCCCCTTACACTTGGGAAGGCATGAGACTAGGAAGCCTCACCATAGGTGGCTATTTAAAATTAATTAAATTGTTAATGAACAATTCAGTTCCTCAGTCACACTGGTCACATTCCAAGTGCTCTATGACCCCCATTGGCTGGTGGCTACTGTACTGGATAATGCAGATACAGAACGTTTCTATCATCACAGAAAGTTCCACTGGACAGCACTGGATTGGACTTTTCTCTTAACAAAGGAGGCCCTTTTAAAGGAATGTTATCAGCTTTAGAGGAATCCAGAATAGACTTGACCTATTTGATGACTCTTTCAATAAATATTCGCCACCGACTGTATTCCAGGCCCTGAATACACAACAGTGGACAGTAGTAGCCGGTCTGTCCTGGGAGTGAGGAGGCGATGGCTTAAGTACCTGGGCCCAGGCTGGGGGAGCGGTCAAGGTTGCCTGGACACCGGGCCGTCTGCGCAGGCCTGCAAGCTGAGGAGGCACTGGGCAGGCAGGACGTTCCTTTTTTTTGCCCTCAGGCCCCAGTTAGAGGCTGTCCCACTGCCTGGCTGCTCCACCTCTCTTTCTCCCCGGGGAGGGGAGGAACACAGGCTAGTTCCTTGAGGTTAGTCCCTGAGCTGGGAAAAATCAAGACTCCCCGTTGGGCCATTAACTCAGGATCTATGAGCTGTAACTTGTACTCCCCCACCGCAGGCCTCGCGGCTGCCGGGCTCACTTAACAATAGGCTTCTGAGCCCCGGGCCTTTGTGGCCAGAGTGGAGAGTTGCTCTAGGGAAGTGGAACCTGCCAAGCCGTAGGTGGGTATACTGGGGGTCTGACTGTACCCTGAGGCCCAGCCCAAGGTGCCAAGCTCCGCAACCTCCACAGCCCCTGCGTGCCTGCGGGATGAGGCTGGGGAAAGTGTGGAGGGCGGAGGGAGCCAGGCCTGGGCCAGCGGGGCTGAGCGTGTCTTGGGGGGTCTCCTATCCTGCGGCTTCTGCTAGAAGCCCCCGCTGTGGGTCCCCTCCTCACATACACACACTGGTGTCCACTCCCCGCCCTCCAACGGCGCCGCCGGCCCCAGCTCGCGCCCCCTCCTAGTGCCCTGGCCGGTGAGTGTGTCCGTGCAGCGATTTTGATAGTGGCAGCTAATTGGCCCGAATTCGGAGAGTGTTTCCGTGCCCCCCCAGGCACCCCTTTACGTGGCATGTCTCACTTAAGCCTCCTAACCGGAGGACGATGACGTAGGGATGATTATCTTCCCCTTATTACAGGCAAGAAATGAAGGTTCCGAGGCGGTAATCCGCAGGAGCCGGCAGTGACGGAGGGGACCGTCCACGCCCTGCCGCCCCGCACCCCGCACCCCGCCTCCCGCCTCCTGCCTCCCGCCTCCCGCCTCGCGCTGGCATCTCCGCGTCCTTCGGTGCCCGCCCCATCACCGCGGGGTTTCCGCGCCTCCCGGCCGGCCAGAACCCGGCAAGCAGGGCCGGGGAGTCCGGGGGTTCGTAATGGGGTAGGGGGTCCGGGCCCTCGGTGCCGGCCCGAGCTCGAGGAGGCCGCAGAGGCGCCCTTTGTTTCGCGGCGCTCGCGGCTTCTGCGGAGTCACGGTCACATGGCGCTTCCGGCACGGGGTGTTCCGGGCGCCGCGCCAGGGCCGAGGCGCCCCCGCCCGCCTGCAGGCCGCCGGCCACCCGGTGTTGCCGGGCCTCGGGGTCCGCACCCTGTCTCGCAGCTCCGCCTGGCCGCCTGGGGACCTGGGGCGCCCCTCCACCTTCCCACCACCCCCAAGCTCCCGCCCGCCGTCCTGTCTTCTCTGAGCGCCACTGTTGAGTGCACATCACATGCAGATGTTTCCCGGGCCCACTGTCTCCGCTGCTCTGGACAGCACCAAGCTCCCAAAATCAGGCTCATCACTCCCCCGGGAGCGCTGTACAGTAGATAGGTGTTGGAGGAGTCGGTAATGGACCCCATTCTCCTCGTTTAATAGTGTGTCAGAGACAGCACTGAGCCTCCCTCTCTTTCCCACTTCAGCCCCCACAAAGCAAAACAAAAATCAGCCATACGGCCTCGCCTCTCGGCACAGAGCATCTAAAGGTAAAAGTCCCAATCCGAGGTAGAAATGACTGGCCCTTTCCGCCCTGGCCTGGCTCCTGCATCTCCATAACTGCGGGCTAGTCTGCCCTGTGACACTTGAGAACCATGGGGCCTCCTCGTGCAGGCCACCTCTGCTTCATTTAGCAGCTTCAAGAATTCATTCCACAAATGTTTATTGGAAGCAAAACACTTGTGCAAGGCAGGCCAGTCCCTCCCAGGGTACGCTAGGACCCCAAGTGGATGTGAGGGGATCGTTTGCTGTTCCAGCAGTGCCTGTGCTGTCCGCTGTCTAGTCTAGGCCACCACGGTTCCTTCATCCAGGACTTAGTGAGTTGGGTGGATACCTGCATTCCTGGAGGCCAGGAAGAGGTGTCAGCCCTGGAGAGGCAACAGGGAGGGTGGCATCAGGCTCTAGGTGAGCATGGGGTGGGTCTTCAGGACCCTTCCCTGGGTCTTCAGGCAGCTTTTCTCCATTAATGCCGCTTGTGGGCATGGGAAAGGCTAGGGTAAGGAGTGACGAAGAGAGAGGAAGACAGACCAAGATGGGGCGGGGCAAGAAGCAAACTCCAAAGGCGCTGTGTACCTTGCTGTGGCCTCAGGGCTTGGTGGGGAAGCGCAGGCAGGTGAGTTCCCGGCTGCCGCTATGTCTGTCCACAAGGGGCAGGGGGTGCCTCGTGAAGTGCCGGACCATGGCGGCCACGGAGGGGAAGAGCTGGCCGAGAGGCAGGGCATCTGTGAGCCCCGTGACCCTCATGCTGGGAGCAAATTCCTGAGGCAACTGTGGGACTCCGGCAAGGTGGCTTTTGACACTTTTCTAGATGTTTGCCCCATGCAGCTCCACTGCCATTTTGCTGCCTGGTACCAGGCCTCAGGCAGCTTTCCTGCTGCTGCACCCATGGGCACGCCGCTGGCCAGACCCTTATGCCCAAGGCTAGATCAAACTGACTCTAGGGCATGCCTCTGCCCGGGTCCTCCAGCATGGGGAGCTGAGTGGTGGGTGACTGTCTCTAGTTTGCACCCCAGCAAATGCTGGGTGTGACGTAGAGTCCTCAGGGGAGGTTGACAAGATTCTGAAGAATCTGGACACTGCCCTCCTCCCAACTGGGTTCATTAGAGACACAAAGGCCCCCACCTCGGCCCTGTGCAGACTGAGCCCCCCAGAGGGCGGGCCTCTTCCCAGAGTGCCAGGTGTCTGGGAAGGAGTTCAGGGCCCTGGGCTCTGTCATTTCCGCCCACCCCAGAAACACAAAATGCTCTTGGCTGGGCCTTGGGTACTGCTCTGCTGCCCCTCTTTAGGCCCCTGCCTCCTTCCAGCTCCCACCTCCTCATGGTTCCTGCCCTCCCGGCCCAGGGCATAGTGGTGCCCGCCATCCAGCCGCCGGATGGGAATGTTGAAGACCCGGCCTCGGAGAAGCACTGCCAGAGTGAAGGGCTGGGAGCCATGAGGCCCCGAGCTGGGGCGCACGGTGTAGGCCCCGTCCTGTGGAGGAGACCCCAGCCATCAAACTCATCTTCCAATGGCCCTCCCACCGCCCTGACACATGATGGGGCCAGAACCCTCCTGGCTCTCCTGTGCCCCACTGCTGGGCTGGCCACAGCCTGTGAGCAGAAGGGGTTTCGGAGAAGGCCCGGGCTCCGTGGCTGCCCACCTTTTGTAAGCAGAGCAGGGCACTCTCAACAGCATGGCGGTCACAGTTCCCTGAGTACCAAGGCTGAGCCAGCAGGTCGCCATCCTGTGCATACACACAGCCACTCAGAGATGTGCCAGGGCACTGGATTGGGCATGGGGTGCCGAGGACCCAGGGTGCAGTTATTTGTGTTCCCATCACCTTTCCTCAACTGAGTCCCCGGCAGGCAGAACAAAGAGGCGTCCCTGTCTGGGGCACGGTGGGGTGTTGCACATGTGTGTTCAACATGTGTTCTTGAAGTGGTGCACCCTTCAGCCCAAGAAGACTCCTGGGTGAAGACCCTTGGGCTCTGCTCCCTGAACCTCTCCCCACAGCCTGCTCCCAGCCCCTCCTCACCTCAACAGCTGAGGCGCTCCCAGCGGCGGCTACAGAGGGAAGAGACAATTTCCTTCCTGTTAGAAGAATCAGATTATAGAGCTGAGGTTGCGTGGGGGTGGACAAGGGAGGCTTCTAGGCGACAGGTGCAGGGGTGGGAAGCAGAAGGAGGCGTGTATGGGCCTGAGCCCAAACCCAGGCACCCAGTGCTTCTCCCACTGTCCAGGTCCAGTGCCCTGGCAGGACCCACCAGCCAGGCCTCGTGTGACTTCCAAATGAGGTGTGATCTTGGGGCACAGACTAGGGGCTTCCTGATTTGGCACAGACCCTTGAAAATCCCCAAGGGTCCCCTCAGGCCTGATTTCAGCTGGAGTCAGAGCTTCAGGGACATCCTCAGGAAAGTGAGGCCTGAGGGAGTCTGGCCTGCAGGGCTGGGGGTAGGCCCTGGCAGGACCACCTACATTCATGCGGAAGATGCCTGCAGTCACCTACTTTTTTTTTTTTTTTTTTTGAGGCGGAGTTTCGCTCTTATTACCCAGGCTGGAGTGCAATGGCGCGATCTCGGCTCACCGCAACCTCCGCCTCCTGGGCTCAGGCAATTCTCCTGCCTCAGCCTCCTGAGTAGCTGGGATTACAGGCACGCGCCACCACGCCCAGCTAATTTTTTTTTGTATTTTCAGTAGAGACGGGGTTTCACCATGTTGACCAGGATGGTCTCGATCTCTTGACCTCGTGATCCACCCGCCTCGGCCTCCCAAAGTGCTGGGATTACAGGCTTGAGCCACCGCGCCTGGCCTACTTTTTTTTTTTTTTTTAAGACTAGTCAAGTGCAGTCATGAGAAGCAGGGAAGGAGTTCCATCTGTAACTGACTGTGAACAATCAGTTGGGATAACTAACTACCTTTGGACTAGCCTGTACTCACCTTTAGAGGTGGCATCCGCTGCGCCCTGGCACACAGGAGGTCTGATCAGAAGAGGCTGGGCCCTGCAGGCCTGCCGCCTGGGCCCCAGGTCCCACCCTGAGTCTCCCTCCCTGCCTCCCTCTCTTCTCCCCTGACCATTAGCCTCTTACATTCCAAGTTTCCTGGGGGGCTGTGGGCCTGTGGGAAGAAAATTGGGGGATAGAGCTCAGGGTCTTTATGTTTTTCAAGAGAAAGAGCCAGTGAATCCAGCATCAAAGCTGCCCCTGCCACCACTGCCAATGGCCCTGGGACAGTGCAAGGAGATTCCATCCGAGGGTCAGGGCTGGGGAAGGCTGAATTGGGGTGCTGTTTCTGTGTAAATTGTGTGCGTGCGTGTGTGTGTGTGTGAGTCTCTCACACACACACGCGCGCACATTCACCTGGTTGGGGCACTTACCTGGGCACCACCGATGCCCTGGGCAGAAGCCCTGAAGGCATCAGGACTTGGGGGCTGAGAGTCTGAGTCAAAGCCAGGACTGAAACAGAGAGGGCAGGCTGGGCTAGGCTGGGCACCAGGCAGGGAACCCACGCTGGCCGGGGCGGGGCGGAGGACAGCTGCAGGGCCTGCTGCTTCTCTGCAGCCTGGACTTCCTGGGAGTGCTTCCAACCAGAGGCAGATGCTGTCCTGGCCACAGCAGCTGGGGAACCCCACCCAACCCATGCTTTAAGTGGGGCACCTCCCTTGCCGGCACAGCATGGGTCAACCTGAACCACAGGCAGAAAAGTGTGATGTCCATGCAGTGACTGAAGGCAAATGCATGTTGTTGGGGGTGGTGAGAGGTGGCAAGGGAAGCAGATGGAGCCAGGAGAGTGTGTCGTGCTGTGGGCAGCTGAGGGCCTCGGGCAGGAGGGGTCTGGAGCTGAGGGAGGGGCTCACCTGGATCAGGCTCACATTCCAAGTAGAGGTTCTCATCAGGTTTTTTTGGAAGGTCTGGTACCTAATGTAGGGAGGGGTATGTGGGACCATGGTTTGCCCAGTCCTGGGGTTTCATTTAGGACTAGCGGTCCTGGGGGAGGAGCCATCAATTTGGAGGCGTGGCAGGCACCCCACTCCTGCCTCACACAGTGACCCTCTTTCTGGGAGCCAGCTTGAATGGTTACAATTTCTCCTCTGCCTGAGAGGGGGCATCCCACAGGCACCTTCCCCTTCAGAGGTGCCCATGGGCCCCAGCTCTCAGAGAGTGTGAGGAGGAGCCCCAGGCAGTACCCTCAGGACAGCTGGCTCACGCCAGCCAGGGGCCTGCGGCTGAGGGGCAGGGGCTCTGCTCTGGGTCTTTTCCCTTGGTTTCAGGGATATTTCCTGGGCCTCCCTAGCCCCCCACTCTACCCCACCCCTGCCAGTCTCCTAACCAGAACCCTGGAATGTGAGGTGGAGATGGAGGGGCTGCTCACCATTCTGGATGATGCACCCTGCTCTGGAAGGAAAAGGAGAGAACCACCTGTCACGCGCAGCAGGGAGAAGAAAGGAATTCAGTGGGACTGAGGCTAGAAGAGCAGTCTCCTTGGGGCGTCTCCGAGGAGGGCGTCTAAGTGTCAGCTTTGAAGCCCCAGGAGAAAGCTTTCCTTATCTCCTGATGATTCTCTGCACAGCCTATGGTGTCACCTGTCCTGACCTCCCAAATGACTTGCCAGGCCTGGCTCCAAATGACTTTGGACTGTTCAAAAAAATCATTAGCAGCCGGGCACAGTGGCCCATGCCTATAATCCCAGCACTTTGGGAGGCCGAGGCGGGTGGATCATTTGAGGTCAGGAGTTCAAGACCAGTCTGGACAGCATGGTGAAACCCCCTCTCTACGCAAATATAAAAATTAACCAGACTGCCGGGCGCGGTGGCTCAAGCCTGTAATCCCAGCACTTTGGGAGGCCGAGGCGGGTGGATCACAAGATCAAGAGATCGAGACCATCCTGGTCAACATGGTGAAACACCGTCTCTACTAAAAATACTAAAAATTATTAGCTGGGCATGGTGGCGCATGCCTGTAATCCCAGCTACTCAGGAGGCTGAGGCAGGAGAATTGCCTGAACCCGGGAGGCAGAGGTTGCGGTGAGCTGAGATCATGCCATTGCACTCCAGCCTGGGAAACAAGAGCGAAACTCCGTCTCAAAAAAAAAAAAAATTAGCCAGAAATCGCTTGAACCCAGGAGGTGGAGATTGCAGTGAGCCAAGATCACGCCACTGCACTCCAGCCTGGGCAACAGAGTGAGACTCTGATTCAAAAAAAAAAAAAAAAAAAAGGCTGGGCGCGGTGGCTCAAGCCTGTAATCCCAGCACTTTGGGAGGCCGAGGCGGGTGGATCACAAGGTCGAGAGATCGAGACCAACCTGGTCAACATGGTGAAACCCCGTCTCTACTAAAAATACAAAAAATTAGCTGGGCATGGTGGCGCGTGCCTATAATCCCAGCTACTCAGGAGGCTGAGGCAGGAGAATTGCCTGAACCCAGGAGGCGGAGGTTGCAGTGAGCCGAGATCGTGCCATTGCACTCCAGCCTGGGTAACAAGAGCGAAACTCCGTCTCAAAAAAAAAAAAAAAAAAAAAAAAAAAAAAAAAAAAAAAAAAAAGCCAAGCAGTCGAGCCAAAAAAAAAATTTTTTTTAATTTTTATTATTTTTAAAATTGTATTTATTTATTTATTTATTTATTTATTTATTTATTTATTTATTTTGAGATGGAGTTTCGCTCTTGTTACCCAGGCTGGAGTGCAATGGCGTGATCTCGGCTCACCGCAACCTCCGCCTCCTGGGTTCAGGCAATTCTCCTGCCTCAGCCTCCTGAGTAGCTGGGATTACAGGCACGTGCCACCATGCCCAGCTAATTTTTTGTATTTTTAGTAGAGACGGGGTTTCACCATGTTGACCAGGATGGTCTCGATCTCTTGACTTCGTGATCCACCTGCCTTGGCCTCCCAAAGTGCTGGGATTACAGGCTTGAGCCACTGCGCCCGGCATTATTTTATTTTATTTTTATTTATTTTTTAAGACAGGGTTTCACCATGTTGGTCAGGCTGGTCTTGAACTCCCGATCTCAGGTGATCCACCCGCCTTGGCCTCTAAAGTGCTTGGATTACAGGTGTGAGCCACCACGCCCAGCCGAGCCAAAAAAAAGTAGACCAGTCTCTGCTTCTGTGTGATCTTAGGCATAGCATTTCATATCCCTGGGCCTCAGTCTCCTCATTTATTTCATTAGGGGCAAGGCCAACTGCCTGTCTACCTTAGAAATCACTAGGTAAAAAGGGGCACAGCCATGTGGGTCTCATACTCTGGTTCTCATACTCTGCCCCTTCATGGCACATCCCTTGGTGCCATGAAGGGGCAGAGTATGAGATCCATGTCAGACAAGCACAGCTCTACCCTGTGGCAGGAGGACTCCCTGTCCCAGGGATGGAGCCACGGAAAGACAGGACATCGCATTACCTCGCCTTCCGAAGACAGGTGCCTGCTTCCCGGTCACCGGCAGGCTCACTCCTTCCTTCAGCTGTGGGTACAATGGGGGCCGGTGAGGGCAGATAGGAGAAGGAAACTGAGGCACCAGTTTCCTTCCAGGAGGACAAGGAAGGGGCGAGATGGGACAGGATGGGACCACTTGCATCTGAGTAGCTTTAAAAGTGTACAAAACAGATGACTTGTCTTTGCTTCTACTCTGTGGCTCTTTGTTTTGTGAATCACTCCTGCTTTTTACAAAAATTCTAGTGAAATGTATGATAAAGGTGGTAGCTTTCAAAATCCAAAAAGTCCCACTGGGATCAAGGTGGGAATGAGAGCTGGCAGTGACTGGCAGCTGAGGTAGGGACTTCTTCAGTCTGGAGGTGGAGAGGGGTCCTCAGGTCCCAGAATCCAGGGAAAGGGCAGCTGAGCCCCTTCCCTCCCCCTCAGGCAGGTGAGAAGGACACCCTGGGTGAAGCTGAGGGGAGGGTGGAAGGACCAGGCCAGGAGTTGGAGGAGTGACTGACAGCGGCAGGGCTCTGGCTTCTCCTGCGTCTGGCATCTGATTTTTCAGGGGCCTCTTGAATGCAAATGTGGGGGTATCTTGCAAATGAGATGCCTCTAAGATTCACTCACTAGGAAATGGCAGCTTGGGGTAGGGTGAGTGAGGAAGGAGGGACTTCTGGGGAGGCCTCTCACCATGGTGGGCTGACGCAGGGGTGGCTTGGATGGACCCAGGGGGCCAGAGTGATCTGGAAAAGATCGCATGTGTTGTGAGTTGGTGGGTTCCTCCCAGGCGGGTTCCCATTTTTCTTCCCCCCCCCCGCCCCACCCACCTAGCCTCCATTTCCTCCTCCTTCCCTCGCTCCCCTTGCTCATTGGCTTCCTGACAGCCCGGTCTCCATGGCAACTGGAGGCGGGCAGTTTCCCTGCCTCCACCTGGCCCAGGAGCTGAGCAGTGGGGGTGGGATGCCAGCGGCAGCCAGGGCTCTCCCAGCACCCCCGCCCTTGGCCTGAAGAAGTGTGGGGATCTCAGAAGGGGAATGCCAGGCCCCGGCTGTTGCCTTGGTTACAACACCCCTCCTTTTCCCTTCCCACTCTTCTTCCTCCCTTCCGCCCTCCCTCCCTCCGTTCCTTCATCTCTCTCTCTCTCTGCCCAGCCAAGAGGCCCCATGGCTGCCAGCTGAGGCCTCCCTTGCTGCCTCAGCACAGGCAGGGGAGGAGAGGCGAGGCCTGTGCGCTCTAATCTTGTGGGGACCCTCCTGCCCTGCCCAAGCACCCAGCCTCCCTGCCTCCCACCTCCCAGCCCTCACCCAGGTACAAGGAGTCCTCCTCAGTGCCAGGAAGGTGGGCAGGGGCTAGACTGAGGGGCAGAGCCTCACAGGGGGGAAGCTCATACTTATTTTCCTCCTCGTCCTCCTCCTGGGCCTGGAGGAAAGGATGCTCAGTGAGTGGGAATGGAGGGGAGAGGGTGTCCAGCACAGGCTCTGGCCGCAGCTCCCCCACCCCAGCCTCAGCAGCCAGACTCACCTTGTGTCTCCAGGTCCCTGGGGCAGGCAGAAAGGATGGGCTGGGGGCATCTTCTCTCCAACCTGGGGAGTCTGCACAGACAGGCTAGCCTCACCGCCTCCCTGCCCACTTTTCCCCAAGTATAATAAACCACCTGCCCTTGACAGTGCCGGTGCTTCAGCTCAAAAGAACCACTCATCACAGGCATTTTCAATGCTGCCTCAGGGCCACTGAGGTAGGCATTTTGGAAACAAGGGGCCCTTCCACCTATGCCCATCCCCTGCCTTCTGCACCCCTTGATTCTGGCCAAGATAGATGGGAGAGCTAGGCCCCTGTGACTCAGCAGTGCTGGGCTCTGGGAGGTAGGAGGTGTGCAGAGTCACTGAGGGGACCTGACTTGCAAGGGATCCCCATCTGTTGGGCCCCTCTTGCCCACTGTGTCACTTACCCACACATCTGGGGGGTGGAAGCGGTGGCCCCAGCCTGCAAGCACACTCTAGTCAACTCTGCCCAAGGGACCCTTGAGTTTGTATGAGACACACTGTGTTCTGGGACATTCATATCTATGACAGTGTGACTGACAGAGATCTTGGGACCAGGGCAGCAGAGAAGGAGGCTGGGGGCAGAGCTAGCGCCTGTGGGCGCACAGCTGCATGAGCTAGTGCCCTGGGGAAGCCGGGAGTCGGGGAGCCCTAGGGCTGACTAAGAGATGGAGGCACGTGAATGGTCTCCCTGGGCAGAGAAGGTCCTGGCAGAGCCAGCACGGCTCCTGGGATAGCTGTACCCAGGAGAGGAGGGGTAGAGAGAGACAGGAGGCGGGGGAGAGAGGAGCCCCAGTACTCACTCGGACCTGCTGCCACTGAGCTTGTCCTGGAAAGAGCCAGGGTGGGGAGAAGAGGGGTCAGTGCAGCCTCTCCCTGGCTGAGTCCTGGGCATCCCAGGTGGGCAGGTTGGTGTCCCTGGGGCTGTCCGAGGACCACATCTTACCATGGCAGAGGCAGAGGAGTTTTGCCTCCCTGGAGCCTGGGATCTGCCACAAATGGCCTGGGGACAAGGGCTCCATTGTTCCCATCATTTGCATCTCCTAATCACCAGGAAGATGGGTCTGCTGTGGCCTCCAACCCCAGACCAGCTTCATCCAGGACACTTCCAGGGCCCAGCCCCAGCTCTCTGAGCCCCCCCTAGGTGGGCCATTCCCCACGCTGTGGTCTCCAGCCCCTCTGCCCAACAGCAGGAAGAGCTAAGCTGGATCAGGGTTCTCGGGCTTCCTTCAGCTCTCTGATCAGTGTCGCCTTTCTCACTTCATAGACATTACATTATCTGGCAGATCCAATTAAAAACAGCAGGCTGGGCTTGCAGTTTTCTTAAACCTTTACTACTATTGTCATTTGCTGGTGAGTGGTGACCAATGGTCAGGGAAATAAGGTGAGGGAAGCACCTAGACAGAGGCTCTCATATTTAGTGAGGCAGCTTCACTTTTCGATGGATGTATTTATCCATTCAGTGGGTATTTATTGAACATCCACTGTCTGCCAGAGACTGTTCCAGGCCCTGAAGATGCCGTAGGAAAACGAAACGGGGAGGCATGACGTGTATTTCCTCATCAGAGTCTCACAATAACCTCATGCTGCAAGTACTAGTTTTATCCCTGCTTTTCAAATGAGGAAACTGAATGGATTAGTCAGCTGGGACTGCCATAACCAAAACCCACAAATGGTGTGCCTTCAGCAACAGAAATGTGATTTTCTCACTGTTCCGGAGCTAGAAGTCCAAGATCAAGGTGCCGTAAGGGTTGGTTTGTGATGCAGCTTCTCTTCCTGGCTTGTAAACAGCTGCTTTTTCTGTGTCCTCACATGGCCTCTTGTCTGTGCACGCACAAAGAGAGGCGGTTCCGGTAACCCTTCTTATGAAGACACCCACACTATCAGATTAGGGCCCCACTCCCATGACCTCATTTATCCTTAATGACCTCCCTAAAGACCCTATCTCTAAATAGTCACATGGGGGGTTAGGATTTTAGCATATGAATTTTAAGGAAACACAATTCAGTCCTAACACCCCGAGGCTCTGAGAAGTGGAATAGCTTTCCTGACGTCATGCAATTAGCAAGTGTTACAGGTGGGATTCAACCCCAGCTCTGTCTGCCCCAGAACCCGTGCCCTAGAGGCTAAACGTCCTGTATATCTCTCCAGGATTGGGTCAAGACCCTCCTTTTGCCGGCATGGTGGCTCACGCCTATAATCCCAGCACTTTAGGAGGCTGAGGAGGGTGGATCACCTCAGGGAGTTTGAAACCAGCCTGACCAACAGGGAGAAACCCCATCTCTATTAAAAAAGTTAAAAAGAGCCGGGCGTGGTGGCTCAAGCCTGTAATCCCAGCACTTTGGGAGGCCGAGGCGGGTGGATCACGAGGTCAAGAGATCGAGACCATCCTAGTCAACATGGTGAAACCCCGTCTCTACTATAAATACAAAAAAATTAGCTGGGCATGGTGGCGCGTGCCTGTAATCCCAGCTACTCGGGAGGCTGAGGCAGGAGAATTGCCTGAACCCAGGAGGCAGAGGTTGCGGTGAGCCGAGATCGCGCCATTGCACTCCAGCCTGGGTAACAAGAGCGAAACTCTGTCTCAAAAAAAAAAAAAAAAAAAAAGTTAAAAAGAAAAAAGACCTTCTTTTCCTACAATGGAATTAGCAGTGCTAATTGTGACCTTTCTTAAGGAGCTCATGACTTCCAGGGGCTCTGTTACCTGAGTGAATTTTGGAACCTTGACTTTCTGAGAAGAGTTATGATAAAAAGGAGGGCTGGGGCCTGGTGTCTGACTCTAAGTCAGGGAATGAGGAAATACAGATCACAGTCATGAATGATGATCATGGAGCTTTCCTGTGCTTATGATTTTGGTGGCATCATGGCTGTTGGCACAAAGGACAAACGAAGCCCATGTGCTTGCAGCTTTGGAAGCCACCAGGCTGGGGACACCAGGCAGACACCCAGGGATGGAGAAGAAGACCAGACAATTCCTGGGATCTGCAGGCAAAAGGGCACCCAAGAAAAATAGAAGAGTCATTGGGTAGTTTCACAGGGAGCCATTTGGTACAGAGGGAAAAAGTGAAAAAACACAAAGAACAAATCCTCACCCAGAATTGGTCCTGCTGGGTCTATTCTTTGTGCTCCACTCCCAGCTGACCTTTCTTCCACATTTTGAACCATACGCAGGGGGCAACTTCCCTCACCCAAGGGAACCTCCTTTGGAATCAGGGTCAGTGAGAGGTTCTGGACACCACCCCACTGTAAACTTCAGCCTGAATGAGTTTCCCAGTCCATGCTGCCCTCACTCCAGCCACCTCCCTGCTCTGTTCAGGGCTTTGCATAGGCAAATGCCAAGGCCTGGGTGAGTGAAAGGGCCCCAGGCACAGGCAGAGGGTGGAGTCCATCCTATCTGGGTGGGGACGCTGGCCTGGGCAGATCTAGGAGAAGGGGAAGGAAAGAGGCCTGCCTCAGTGGCCTTGTCTTGTCACACAGGCAGATTGGGACATCCTCTTTATCCCTCTTTGGTACGGAATTGTTCTGTGCACACCATAGGTATTCCCTGGGTATGAATTCCTGGAAGCGGACTTACTAGAAACTCACATTTTGAAGCTTTCATGCCCCGTTGTCTGCAGCACCTGAGTGCCTGTTTTATGATCCTTCCATAGCGCAAAGTGATTCTCCAAATTGTTCAGGTCTTAGCTACTGAGAACGGGCCATGGGCTCAAGTAGTCTAAATCCACCCTATGAAAACACATAGTGGTGTTTAGAAAAAACTCAGATGGATTTTCCCCTGCTCTCACATGCAACAATCAACCCAGAGGAGACTTCTGTGACCAAATGTGGTGGTGGCGGGGTGGACAGTTCTCCCCAGCATCAAGTGAGCAATCAGTTCTGCCACGGACACCAGTGAGATATCCTCCAATTCAATTCCAACACTACCCACCTGGAGACAGAGTCAATCCCACAGGTGGAGGGCTCAGTCCCCAAGACTCCCTGCCACCCCAGATACCAGGCACAAGTCTAGGCCTCCAGGACTTCTGACCAACTGGCTTCAAGCTGGGGTTCCCACAGCCTCCTCTTGGGGTTTGATTAATTTGCTGGAACAACAGCTTACAGAACTCAGTGAAACATTTACTTAGGTTTACTGATTTATTATGAAGGATATTGCAAAGGATACAGATGAAGAGATGAGTAGGGCAGGAATAGAGGGAAACGATGTGGAGGCTCCATGCCCTCCCTGGGCACACCACCCTCCAGGAGCCTCCACGTGGCCAGCTATCAGGAAGCTTTTTGAACCAGTCCATTGGGTTTTTTAATTTTTAAATTATATATATATATTTAAAGACGGGGTTTCACCATGTTGGTCAGGCTGGTCTTGAACTCTCGACCTCAGGTGATCCTCCTGCCTTGGCCTCCAAAGTGCTTGGATTACAGGAGTGAGCCACCACGCCCAGCCCCATTTGGGTTTTTATGGAAAATTCATGACCACAGCATTCTTTCCCGCAGAGTATGGGGTAGGACCCTCTCTGGAATTAGGGTTCCCAAATCAGAAAGGTGGAGGAAGATCAGAGTCCTGCTTTGGGTGGTTGAAAGGAGGACAGGAGAAGGCCAGAGAGAGTCTGTTTCCCGAGGCTTAACAGCTAATATCCTGACAAAAGCCTCTAAATGCCTGGCACGGTGGCTCACGCCTGTAATCCCAGCACTTTGGGAGGGTGAGGAGGGCAGATCATGAGGTCAGGAGTTTGAGACCAGCCTGGCCAAAATGGTGAAACCCTGTCTCTACTAAAAATACAAAAATCAGCTGGGCATGGTGGTGTCCACCTGTAGTCCCAGCTACTCAGGAGGCTGAGGCAGGAGAATAGCTTGAACCCAGGAGGCAGGGGTTGCAGTGAGCTGAGATCGTGCCATTGCACTCCAAGCTGGGCAACAAAGTGAGACTCTGTCTCAAAAAAAAAAAAAAAAAAAAAAAAAAAAAAAAATTGCCAAGTCTGGTGGCATGCACGTGTAGTCCCAGCTACTTGGGAGGCTGAGGAGGGATAATCGCCTGAACCTGCAAGGCAGAGGTTGCAGTGAGCCAAGACTGCGCCATTGCACTCCAGCCTGGGGGACAGAGAGAGACTCCGTCTCAAAAATAAAAAATTTAAAAAGCCTCTAAACAGGGCTATGGGAGTTATAAGCCTGGAACCGTGAACGAAAACCTACAAATAGAATAAATACTCGAGGTCATTGTTGCCAGCAGACATCAGCAGACACCGTCAGAAGATGGTGAAGTATAGTCGGGACCTGGGGTGTGAGTGAAGTGGATTCATTGTGAGAAGGATGGGGGTGGCTCTGAAGACCTGCAGGGGGACAGGTAGGCAGGCCGTGGTCAGAGGTCTCAGAGGTGGATCTGAAGCAGGCATGAAGAGGAACCCACCCTGGGAGGATGGTGACAGCCAAATCCTGTTTCCAGAGGCTTAGGGGGCTGAGCCCTTAGTGCCACCATCCAGGGCCCAAATCAGTGGCACTGGCAAACAGTGGTGTCAGCGCCCAGGGTGGCTCTGGCAGGCTGGCTTGGCTGTGACCTTTGGGACATTATTCCTGGCTGTCTGGCCCTGCTGGAGATGCTGTGAGCTACAGAATAGTTTTAATAAATTATTTTCTAGCCAGGTCTATTTCTCTTACTTTCAGTAAGAACTTTAATCTGGCTGGGCATGGTGGCTCACGCCTGTAATCCCAGCAGTTTGGAAGGCTGAGATGGGTGGATCACCTGAGGTCAGGAGTTCAAGACCAGCCTGGCAAATATGGTAAAACCCTGTCTCTACTAAAAAAACCAAAAAACTACTGTGGGTCAAGATGGCCAGAAGGACACCTATGTTAATTCTAGCTAAATAATTATAAGCTTGCTTGGCTCAGAGTACACTGAAGTTTATACACCAAACTAAACTATATTATTGGTGCAGCTAATTAGAAATCAAGGGGTAACAG